GCCTGCGAGTCCTCCGCCGCGGTCGCGCTCGAGCCGCCGCCCTCCCGCCTGAGGGTTAGGCCCCGGGCTGTGCGCGCGGCTCAAGTCAGTCAGGACTCTGCCCCGCTCCAATCCCTGGAGGATCCGAGGAGGAAAAGTGGCTTCAAGTCACCCTGCGGAACCCAGAACTGTGTGCCCCTCGATTCTCTGACTTCCATTGAATTCCGAGACTTCTAGGTTCCGCTGGGGTGAAGACAGGCAAATGTTATGAAACGACAATAATTCAAACTGAGTTTGTCTGCGAAGATTGGGATTCGGTTGGTGTGATGTGTGGCCTGGCCTTTGGAATCTAAAGATCCTTGCGATTCTAAGGAGCAGGCCCATTTTTCCGGAATCACAGAACCAAAGCAGTAATATTAATTGCTGAACAATCAACACAAAGTTCTCCTTTAACTTTCAGGATTGCCACTTTTCTTGTACAGCAGGAGAGGGATGGGGGCGGACACGGAATGTTTAAGCACCTTTCCTAAGAGTGCACAACTAATGGCAGAACAGAAGTACTATACCAGAGTTGAAGAATTCCAGGCCCAAAGCATATCTTGCCCTTATTTAGTACTGTCCTTGTCTTGATGGGTGTTACCGTGAAAATATAATGAGGCATCTGGAGTCCCAGAGTACTATTGTGTTACATCCTGGAATGTAAACTTCATGAGAGCAGGGTTTTTCTTTTTTTTCTTTGGGAGCAGGGTGAGGGCATTTCCTGCCCCCGGCTCCTGGAATGTAACAGAAGCTTACTATTTATTGAATGAATTGCTGACCGAATAAATTACTAATAAAGCATAGGTAATTATGTGCTAGTTCATAGTGCTCTGTTTTCACCCTCCAATTTTCTAATATAATTTTAATTTCATTAAAAAAGAATGTTAAACACTGAAAATATTGTCAATATTTCATTTTTATCATTTCATCCATTATGCCAGTTTAAAGCCATGAAAATAAAAACTTTCTAATATTATTTTCTGTTCAGTGTAATAAAGCACCGTTTTGTTTTTGTAATTTTCATTTTGCCTAGTGACTAGTTTGTCACACTGCTGACTCTTAGATGGAAGATAGGCATCACAATACACTTAGGATTTTTATTCCAACAGCTTCTTTCCAACTTGACTCTCTTGAGAACTGCCATAAAAAAGCCAAGAAAGCCACTCTAGTAGACCCCTGTTCGGGGAGGGGTTAAGTTTTGACTTGTTACTGGACAGGTGAGCTACTACAGCAGGCAGCACAACCCAACAGGAAATAACCGAAGGATTTTATCGCTTGCAGATCCTCGAGAGGAGGGAGAGGGTGTGCAAAAGACAACAGGAAGTGTGGAGACACCAAGGGGCTCAACTAGCAGGTAGGTAGCAAGAGACACAAAAGCTGTGGCACCATGCCTTTATTAATGTTTATTAATTATTAATGTCTGTGAGCATTTGGTCCTTCCATGGTGGTTATGGATTACGTAGTTGCTTAAATCCCATGCAAAGAGAGAACTTACTTGGATGACTCTGTGAACCTTTAGCCTTTATCATGGTCAGCAGCTGTGTGTGTGTATTGGCATTGGAGTTTGGAGGTTGAGGATCAAGAGTATTATGTTGCAAACCACTACAAAAGGAAGAGATGTAGGAACCAAGCTAAAAGTGAGGAGGTACAGCTGGGTTTCAAGTAAACTAAAAATGAATGTGAGGCAGCAATTATATTAAACAAATTTATGACTGTACTTGGCTTTGTAGCACCCCTGCCACACCCGTGTCTGGTCAATATTATGCTTTCAGTGACTATCTGTTCTTAGCTGGATGAGTAAATGAATACATGAGTATGAAAGCAGAAAGACAAATCAAATTACTGGCTCCATTAATATTGATCTTTAGACTTCACTTTTTAGTCTAAAAGTAGAGATAAACCTATTTTCCCTTTTCTTAATCTGGTTCAAACAAAAGATAGCAATAAAATCTGATTTTATTAATTGCTATAGAATCAAACCTTGACAAATTTTAACCAGAACCTTATTTGATTGTTTTAGTTATGCTCTTGTAAAAAATTTCTTAATTTAGGTCTGCTCACAGTGAATGCTTAGATCTTATGTTCTGTGTATGAACAGTGTCTAACAGATCAACTGTGGTGAGCAAAAGTACATACTACAGTGTTCATTCGTATATATAACATAAGCAGGAACATTTTTTCATGGATCTTTGTCACAGAGATACAATGAGATCCATATTTTGCATCTTTTGGCTAAAAGGTGTGTTTTCCTGTTACTTTATACCAAATTATAGCGACCATATTATGACAAAATCTCCATATCCATCATTTAAAAGTATCTCACTAGAAACTGAGATCCCCTGAAACCTGTTGGTAGAACTATACTACGGTATCAATTAAAGAGCTCAGAAAAAAATAAACCCTAAGCAGGGCATGCTGGTACAAACCTGTAATCCCACGTCCCTGGAAGGCTGAGGCAGTAGGATCAGGAGTTCAAGCCTAGCATGGGCAAATTCACATCTTAACAGATACTATCTCTAAAAATGTTTTAAAATATCTGAGGATATAGCTCTGTGCAAAGGCCCTCAGTTCAATCCTGACTATTGCCAGTAAAACATAAATTTCAACTATATCTCAAAGAAAAACATGCAAAGTGGGAAAATTCTTGGAATGACTTTTGTTGTGGCCTTCTGTGGTATGCAAAATAATGCCTCCCCTAAGATGCTCATGTTCTAATCCCCAAAACCTATGAATATGTTATGTTACATTGCTAAAGGGACTCTGCAAATATGATTAAGACACAGATTTTGAGATTATTGGAGTAGCTCGGATCATGTAGGTGGGCCCTACATAATCATAAGGGTCCTTATAAGGAGATCAGAGTTAAAGAAGGGTCAGAGTGTTGCAAAGTTATGAGCAAGGAACATAGGCAACTTCTACAACTGGAAAAGGCAAAGAAACAGATTCTTCTGCTAGGGCTTCCAGAAGAGTAAGTCCGGCTTCTCTATAGCCCTGAACAAATCTGCCTTCTTCCATCTTCTGATATCCAGCATTGTAGGTAATTTTGTTTTAAGCCACTGAGTTTCTAGTAATTTGTCATGGCAAAACTAGGAAACACACAGTTTCACACTTGGGAAGAGCTTTACATTTACAATTTGACTTTAGAAGCTATACATAGTTAAAAATACAAGGGACCATCAAAAGATACAGTGATTATTTACATTTTTTAAAACCTCTTACAGTAAAAGACACGTGGCCAAGAGCAACAGGATAAATGTGTTTCAAAAAAAAAGGAAGTATTTTGAATACACTGAAGGGAATAAATGACGATGTGTCTTTTAATGTAATACATTTTTACTTTGAACATTCACTGTAGTGTATGATCACCTCCCATTGATCAAATCTTTACAATAACTTCTGTCAAATAAAAACATTATCGTGTGTCCCCATCTACATTATTCACCAGATCTATCACTGTATGACCTATGTCTCTTCCTCAAAATCAGAGTGACCATGAAGGGTAAATATCTTTAATCAATTTAGGCATCGAGGCAGCAGTGACAATGCAGCTAAGACACTCACCAAACAGGGCCTCCAGAACTGCTTCAGAAAGTGGCAAGAATGATAAGTATTTTTGAAAAGTGTGTATGTGTGTGGGTCGGGGGGTATTTTGAAGTAATTAATGCCAATATGTCTTCTACTGTAATAATTTTTTAAAATTTAACCATTCACCATATTTTTAACATACTTCATACAATGATATGATTGAAAAAATTAAGCACTAAACTTACTTTACCGTGACTCTTTACTTTTTTAATAGACTACTTTTTAGAGTAGTTTTATGTTCATAGCAAAACAGAGTAAGATACAGAGATTTCCCATATACTCCCTGCCCCCACACATGGATAGCCTTCCTATTATCAGCACCCCCACCAAAGGAATACATTTGTGACAGCTGAAGGACCTACACTGATACGTCACTGTCGTGCTCACTTTGGCAGCACATATACTAAAATTGGAACGATATATCACTATCACCCATAATTCATGGTGTTATTGCTTATATCTAGATGTCCTCCCAAATCTTCATGCACTCATAGATGAAGCTTTGCGGAGTGAGTGGATCATATGTATGTAACGCTAGGTTAGTCCACTTATTACTTTAGCACAGTTCTGAATGTGGATGATAGAATTTCTGAAGAGGGAAGACCTGCCCTGGGTGTGGGTGGCATCAACCAATAGCCTGGCTGGAATAAATGGGAAAGTAGAAGGAAGTCTTGCTGTCTCCTGCCTCCCATGCTGAGGACTGCTTTTCTTCTGCTAGGCTGGCCTGCCTTGGAATCAGCTGACTATGGACTGAAACCTTTAAAAACTGTGCTAAAATAAACCTTTCCTCCTTTAAGTTGTAGGTTTTGGGTATTTTGTCCCAGTAAATAAAAAGTAACTAAGACACATGGTTTCCAATAGTGTTTACTTTTGGTGTTATACATTCATTCTGTGGACTCAGACAAATTTAAAGTGACATATTCACCATTAAAGTATCATACAAAGTAGTTTCATTGCTTTAAAAATCCTCTGTGCTTTGTAAATTCAATCCATTCTCACCCTTTACTTTATCTTTTTTTATTTTTTTTTTCTTTTTATTGAGGTTATTGGTACAATCTAGGTATACAATACAATTACATTCATCATTGGAATTCTGTACCTTTACATAATAGGTCTTGATTCTCATTTTTCCCCTTGTCCCTGCCCTCCCTTCACCCCCTCCTCCCCTCTCCATTTACAAACACTTTATTTCCATTTTTTCAGTTTCTCATATTTTTTTCCTCTCCCTTATTACCTCTCCCCAACCCTTCCCACTTTCCTTACACCTTTAGCCCTTTACTTCCTATTTCACATTATTATTTGTCTCATTAGGATCCTGTGTACTATTATAGTTTTTCACACCAAAGAAAGTATTCGGTATTTCAGTTAAAGAAATCTCTGTATGAACATTAAAAATAGGGAATCCTAAAATAAAACTTAAAAGGAAAGTAAAAGAGAAAAGGCAATTATGTAACATCAAAATAATCCTTAATTCTGGAGATGAAAATGGTCCCTGAACATATTTAAATTGCTTCTCGCTCTTATAGTCTTATCTTATTCTTTTTTCATTATTTAGAGAATACTTTCT